TGATAACAATGATAACATCTGAAGCGGGTGCTCTCTGGTTCAGGTCCTGCTTCATGATGACCTTATTAAAACCCTAAAAGACCACCATATTCTGTCTGATATGTTTATGTCTTGATGGGGTCATCATCCACTGTAAAGGAAGCCTTAGTGTGAGAGTTTTTGAATCTAAATTAGACTAATTACTGCTCATGCACTTTTAGCAAGACACTAAACAAAATCAGTTTTCAATCAAATCTTTCATGTTTTTGGGCAAAAACTGTTGAGTCTGGACTCTGATGTTTATTCTTTTATTTTTTTATCTGCTTCAAATTTCCTGCAAAGAAGAATTCCTTTAATGCAGAATTTAAACAAACTCAAACTTGCAGAACTTTGGCAGCTTRTAATTCTTTTCTCTATGCTCTTTTGATTATGTGATGAATGCATCATGTAATGAAATGGACCTAAAAATAAAACCTTCAACCAAAATCTTTTTTTTAATTAAAATAAATTTATACATTTCTTGCTTTATAAACATTGATTCAAACTCCGTTGGAGTATTTTTTTTCCTAAAGCTGTAAAGTCCATCTGTGACCACCAGGTGGAACAAGTTACACAGTTTTTTAAATTGGTCCTTTGGACAAATTGACAGTTTTTACAGAGATTCATTTTCACAGGGAACAAAATGTCCAAGTTGTGAGTTTGGATCACTTGACCTAAGATATATTTTTTATTAGCAGGAATAGTTTGTTTCATTATAAATTATGTTTAGACCACATTATTTTTGACATGATTGTTTAGTGTTCACTTCTGTGYAATCCCAGATCCTGTTGAAGTGTTGTGTTACTGACCTTTTGTGTCAGTGACCTGCTTGTATTTCCTCTGTTACCAGATAAATGCAGGTTCCTGTTTTCATAATGGATCCTGCTGCTGTTACATCACCTTCATGTCGATTTTTGCCCAGCGAGCACCTCATCTGGGCAAAGTACACMGTGGGGATTGTTAGGTCAGCTTGTCGTGATATGAGTGTATGAGGTTCATGTTTCTGTGGTAACCAAGAGGCTTCTCACCGTCTGCCCTGACTTAATTTGTGTGTTTACRTCTGTGTGCTCGTGTGTGTTCCATCAATTATCCCGGTGGGGTGATATCTCCTGGTTTACATTATCACCCTGACAGCAGGGTGGTCGTTCAGGTGAGTGGCTGCAGCAAGTTGTTCCACAGAAATGAGCAGAGGAGGGGAGCAAATAGACAGATCACAAGCTGACTGACAGGTGAGGTGAGGTGGAACGAATGGGTGCGGCAGAGAGGAAGAAACAACAGGGACACGAGAATAAAAGCCAGATTATGTAAACAAACAGCAGAGATTCATGTGAAGCACTGATAGCTTTTTACCTAACATTACCGTAAATGCAAGTTGGCTTATGGGAATTGTTCCAAGGTGATGTACACACGGCTCAGTGACATGATTTGGTGAGAGTTTCTAAAAGACTCTCCTGGGATTTTATAGTTTTATATAGGAAAGTCTATGCAGGACACCCTGGGTGAGGGCAGATGTCTTAAGGGAGATTTACTGCCTGTTTATAACTTATGATGCTGTACTAAGTTGTGATTTATGTGTACTTATGCTTCAATATTTTGCCAAAGTTTTACCGCAAAATTGGTTGAAATAAAGTKTATTTCTATTATATTAAAGCATTAATCTATAATTTTCAACTTGAATATTTCCAGACAACAAGTAATCCCTCTCTACGTGAAACGTATGTTTACAAACYATAGACCAATATCATTGTTACCACAGTTTTCAAAGATTTTGGAAAAGTTGTTTATCACCAGATTAGATSAGTTCATTGATAAACAAAAATATTTTAAGTAAAAATCAAAATGGTTTTAGAGCTAMTRACTCCACATCAATGGCTCTCATGGGCCTAAATGAACATATAACAGCTGTTGATCAAAAACAGTACTGTGTCAGTGTCTTTGTTGATTTAAAAAAAGTATTTGATACCATTGACCACAGTATTCTTCTTGAGAAATTAAACAAATATGATATAAGAGGACCAGCATTACAGTGGGTATCAAGTTATTTAATCAATAGGAAACAGTTTGTACAAATTAATGATGTAAGGTCTGAACTTTGTAATATTGTGAGGTTCTACAGGGTTTTATATTGGGACCAAAGTTGTTTCTTCTATATATTAATGACTTGGTAAATGTATCAGGGTTGTTTTAAGATGCATTTTTATTTGCGGACAACACTACATTTTTTGCTTGGGTAAGAACATGGAACAAATGTTGGAAATGATGGAAATAGAATTTTTAAAAGTACAAAATTGGTTTAATCATAATAAGTTATCATTAAATTTGGAATTACATGATATTTGGTAAGAGAAAGAAAACAAGTGATGTTCCATTTAGAGTAGATGGTGTTTAGATCTGTGGACGCAGTGAGGTGAAATTTTTGGGAGTCATCATTGA